GCGACTCTTCTGTCTCTTCTTGTTCAAGGACGTGGACCGCTGGAGCTTCGACGTGTTCGCGCTGAACTCGGCCAGCTCTGATCACGCGCTGGAGACCCTTTTCTTCGAGCTTCTCACCAAATACGAGCTCAACAGCCGTTTCAAGGTCTGAAACTCATTTAATGAATAGATGAAGGAATTGATACCTGCAGCGAAGCACACAAAAGGCTTGTAGTTGGTAACTAGAAATAAACCTGTAACTGCCGCGGTTCTGCAAGTGATAATTTCACATACTTTGCTGTTGTAAGAGAGAGAGGAGAGTCATGTTTTGGTTGAGGGTTTAAGTAAAGGCAGATCTGGACCGCAGGCAGGCCTGTAAAGGACACAATCTGCGTTGTTGTGCACGTTTTGGGCAGGTGTACACATAGAGTAGAGTATTTATACATATACACATGCATATACAGTATATATACTGAGAATATCCACAAGTACAATATATATATATAGTATATATATATTCTCAGTATATATATATATATATATATATATACTGAGAATATATATATACTATATATATATATTGTACTTGTGGATATTCTCAGTATATATACTGTATATGCATGTGTATATGTATAAATACTCTACTCTATGTGTACACCTGCCCAAAACGTGCACAACAACGCAGATTGTGTCCTTTACAGGCCTGCCTGCGGTCCAGATCTGCCTTTACTTAAACCCTCAACCAAAACATGACTCTCCTCTCTCTCTTACAACAGCAAAGTATGTGAAATTATCACTTGCAGAACCGCGGCAGTTACAGGTTTATTTCTAGTTACCAACTACAAGCCTTTTGTGTGCTTCGCTGCAGGTATCAATTCCTTCATCTATTCATTAAATGAGTTTCAGACCTTGAAACGGCTGTTGAGCTCGTATTTGGTGAGAAGCTCGAAGAAAAGGGTCTCCAGCGCGTGATCAGAGCTGGCCGAGTTCAGCGCGAACACGTCGAAGCTCCAGCGGTCCACGTCCTTGAACAAGAAGAGACAGAAGAGTCGCAGCGTCACTGGTGCTGCGTATGCCAGCTCCTGTGAGATTCCTCGGACTCGGTGAGATTTACGATGAGTCGGGGGCTTACCCTCAGGCAGTTTACGACCGCCGCAGGTAGGTCTGGGACGGCGGCGGTGTAGGCCCTCTTAAACATCCTGGAATAATGCAGTGTTTATGCTGAGTTCACTCCAAGTTCAGACAGTGACACTATGCAGTGAACTGGACTCAGGAGGTGTTTATAGAAATTCTCCCCCAGTCCCTGTCCCCTCTGGAAGGATGTTTCCAAAAGACGGGGAGGCTAATGTTTCACGGCGCGCTGCAGCTGTCCGTGTTTTTCTCTAGCTGTAATAACACTGCGCAGGATCAGGTTGGATTTATTGCACGTCAGTCATTTACATTGTGTGTTTTACGGTACATTTTGCGGTGATTCTTTCCTGGTATTCCTCTCGTCGTAAAGCAAACACAGAGCGGCGCTCTAGCAGCGGCGCTGTGACTTCAAACGCCAAACGCTGTGACAGAATTACACGGGACTTGTTTACCAATTGTCCCCAAATCACTTTGCGCCCATTAAAACGTGAGCCTTTTTATTGAGAGTGAAATACTGTGTGATGAGCGCGTCTCCGTATACACCACCTCTCCACGAATATCCCGGCCTGCACCGCGTGGACGATGCTGCGGAATTTGGGCTTCTCGTCGGAGCGCCGCGCGCGGCGCTGCACCCTCTGGGTGAAAGTGGACGCCAGCCAGTCGGTGACCTCTGAAGGCACGCCGTCCGACTGCAGCTGCTGAAGATCATCCTCAGACTCTAGACACTGCCTGGGAAAGACAGGGGGACGAAAAGGCGGACATTTAGGTTGAGTTAGTAGCAAACACTGGAGGAGAAGCTCAACGTTCTTCATGTTTGAGGTCACTGTACGATCGAAAACAATTTGCCTGCAGATTTGAAACGGTGTTACTTAAGGAGTACCTTAATCAAAATACAATTGAGTTTTACTGTGTAGGATGGGTATTGATTGCATGGATGGATGGATGGATGGATGGATGGATGGATGGATGGATGCATGGATGCATGGATGGATGGATGCATGGATGGATGGATGGATTCCATCACAGACCATATTTATCGCATCAGATACTTAGAAGTCGGACCAAAATTCTCTAATAGTCACAGGACTATCTCCACTATCTTCCAACCTTAAACACAAAAACAAATCAAAACAAATTACCGTAATTTCCGGACTATAAACCGCTACTTTTTCCACACCCTTTGAACCCTGCGGCTTAAACAACGATGCAGCTAATTAATGTTTTTTTTTTTTACGGGCTAACAACGCTCATATCGCTAGCATCAGCTAGGCTACTGTGTGTTATACTAGTAGCGTATGTCTGTTTGTGGACGGCTGTGTGCGTATATGTGCGTGGGGCGCGCGTGCGCGAGAGAGAGAGAACGATAGCAAAAGTTGAGAGCAATTTGAGCCCTGTCATGTTGTACAAAGTGAAGGGAGTTAGCCCCCGAGCTAATGTTAGCTTCAGAGCTAATGTTAGCTTCAGTCCTGGAGCAGATCACTAAGTCTCCCCTGTGCATTCCAATTACAGTCGGGGCTCCGAAACAGGAGAGAGCTAACGTATAACCAGCCGTGTTACATACACTGTTACGAAAAAGCAATTATTTAATTAAAAGTGAAATAAATATATATTTCTGTGTAAATATCCCATGTTACAACGTGGACACCTGCGGCTTATAGAGAAGTGCGGCCTATATATGTACCAGTATTTTATTCTTTTTAAATGTAGTGGGTGCTGCTTATATTCAGGTGCGCCCAATAGTCCGGAAATTACGGTATATTTGTTGTCTTTGTGTCAAACAGGTGTGAGCAAACTTTTTGACTCGCGGGCCACAATTCTCCTAAAATTGAACAGCGGGGGCCGCGTCAGGAGCAGATAGATGGAGAGTTCGTGTGAACTAAGATAAATGACATGTAAAAGTCATGCATAAAGGCTAAAATGCTAAAATGCTTTTATCATTTTCTACGCCATCTATTGGGGAAATGTGGGTATTGCAGGGAAAAGGCAGAAATATAATGATAATATAAATAAATGATATAATTTGGAAAAGTTTGGTGGGCCGGTTTAAAAAGCTGAACGGGCCGCATCAGGCCCCCGGGCCTTAGTTTGCCCATGTCTGGGGGAAGTCTTCCCATCACAACAACATCAAGCCCCATTTAAGGCTCACTGCAGTTTTGGAAGCGACGCCTCCGTCCATTTTTCATAAACTGTTTTTTGGCTTCTCCCAAAATACAACTAATGGATTGTAGACTCAACTCGGGCCATGAAGTCATCTAAATGCTAGCTGCACATTACAGGAGGGCCAGTGTGTGTTTCCTGTAGCCCGACAGACGCCGTTTGCTTAGTCACACTAAGGTGAAGCCAGGCGTCGACAGTGACTCTGAAAGAATCTGATTATTCACACTGTCAGTTCAACAAAAAACAAAAAATAAAACCTTTTAAAACCGGCCTTTATTTTACACTACGTGTTGCCATGCCACGAAGAAATACATTCAAATACACGCAGTCATTTTTTTTGTAGAAAGTCCATTTGAAGAGCTTAAATAAAGTAACGCACCTTGTTCCGTCCAGGTACACCGCCTCCAGTAACGACGCCGTAAACTCCAGATTCTTTTTGATTTCTTCAAAGTCAACATCGTTCTCTTCCAGTTGCTTCAGTATGCTCCTCAACCTGAATGGAAACAAATACATTTTAATTATGTATTAAATTTCAATAATAATGATCATAATGTGTAGAGATGGCTGGTCAGGGCTACAGAAGCTCTGGAAAACTTTAAAAAAAAAAGAAAGAAAAAAAAGCAGCTCTGGAAAACTTCAAAAAAAAAAAAAAGAAAAAAGTTTAAATCAGCTGCAGGCAAAGAGGCAATTTGAACAAGATGCTAGCTTCCTAAACAAGGACTTCTGAAAACGATCAACACTTGTTGCCAGGTGAAATGGGGTGTGAGAAGTGGTCTAACATCAGGTTGAGAAACTTCTTTCCCACTAGGAGTTCATTTGGAAGTCATTTAAATGCCAGGCTGTCCTCTGGAAACCTGTGCCAAAATTTCCAGGAGAGGAAAAAAAAAAAAAAAAAAAAATCCCATGGCCTTATGTAAGACACATTTCGTCAAAGTCTGTTCTGTGAGGAATATTGTTAGCTGTTTTGTTTTAGGATTTTTTTTTTCTTAGCCACGTCCTAAAGCTCCATCATCCCCGGTGATATTTTTTTTATTTTTCTACCTCAGACCCTTCCTCTCAGTTTGCCTTGAGAAGTTGATTCAACAGCAGAATTGTGCAACAGATAATTCCCCTTCGACAGTTTGGCACTCGGTGTGGTGCCGCGACCGGAATGACTGTGTTCCAAACGTTGCCAGGCCATTATGTGGCTCCAACTCCAGGGGATGATGAGACGCTCACAGCTTTTCAAGTGTTTATCACGCTGGCAAGGGGCTTTTCAGAGCCGCGGAGTCATAAAAATAGCATGCCTCTGAATACCGCTGCTCACTTTGAATCTCAAGTAATCGCGGTGCGATAACGCGGTCTTGCTCGTTTCTGCTCGTTCGCGCCGACGGGGCCCGCCGACGGGACGTTTACAGGAAAAAAAAATTCACGTCAAGTGCACTTGAGGAAACCTTTGTTTATGGAGACAAATGACACATTTCCCTTTTTGGCTCAGGCTTCGTTGAAACCCTCTGTGCTGTGCGGGACAGTCGTGTATTAGAACCTCAGTGACGATCCAGTCACCAAAGAAAACGCATAAATACTGAACGTATAAATGAACGACTGATCTTAACCTCGATGTTTCTTTTAAGATGATAACGTGTATTTTTATCCGTACAAACCACTGTATGAGTTGCTGCCCCCTAGTGACTGGAGGCTTGTTATCAATCAAGCATTACAGCAGTGGTTATGTCCATAAGCCTCTCACGCCCCCTCCCTCCCGTCCCCCCGTCCTCCCCGGCACCTCACCATGCCCCCCTAGAGGGGCCCGCCCCACTATTTGAGAAGTACTGGAATGTAATATAGCATACAGTATATTACCAGTAACGGACAAACACTAACAGCCACAGAGTGTATTTACACGTATGTAAAAAATATATAAATAAGACCAATACAATTAACTACGGCAGATGATGAAGTCCAACACATTTAAATTATTTTGGTAGAAGACTTAACAACAACTCCTGTCACATCCACTTCAGTCTATCAATTCATATTCCCCCTGCCCGTATTATAGTCTAAAGTTACTAGTTTCAGGACTTCAATAAAACGTTTTGTAAGTAACAATCCTATTTAGAGGAAAATGACGATAAAGTGTGATCAAAGCCAGTACATGAGTCAACAGCAACTGATTTAATTTTTGAATTCCCTCGTCAAAGGAAAACAGTTTATATATTTTTTTATCTCAACCAAAAACAAAAAAAAAAAAAAAAAAACACAATATGTATATTTTGGACTTGTGTC